CTCACCACCAGTTGCTTCATCAGGTGTATGGCCTGATGGACCGGGAAGTGTAAAAGGGAAGAAGAGTAAGGAATGCCTCTCTTGCTAGTTATGTGAGAGACTGGCATCAGTGTTGCCGAGATATCTTTAAAGGGTTGTAGACCTTTGACTGGAATGCATTGGTTGTTGATGGGCATGGTGAAGAGTGATGTTTTGCATATTTGTGTTGCAATTGAGAAGTACAACTGGTAAGTGAGAGAATGTGTTGTTGCCTTGCATCAGTAAGTTGTGGAAAGTGAGTATGGTGTTTGCACATGTGAGTTGTGGAATGTGGTGCAATGGGAATGTTTGTGAGTATGTAGGTGTTTGTGAATTTTTTTTTTCCCCGGAGAGGGATTGTCAAGTTGCAGTAAAGACATAGAGATTGGAAGATGGATTGGCTGTTATGCAATCACCTGATGGATATCTATTACCAATTGAGTAAAGATACCAGTTGTGAGTTCTCAAGTTTTGTGGTTTTAAGTCCTAGCTAGGCTTGTTGTTGTGTATAGGAGTAGCGTTCGTGACTCTTAGGTGGGGTCACGCATGATTAAGCATGGCTCTGATTTCTGCTAAATGACAAATGCCATAAGTACAGACACTTTTTTGGTTTGGTTGTGCTCCCATAAGGACCATTTCGTTTTACATCATATTCTTGGGAATATCTCCACTCGTTCAGGATCCCTCGAAGGTTGCTGCCTCTCGCGAGTAGGACATGACTTTCGTTTAAAGTCAAACAAATCATTCCTTCGGCTGGATGGGATCCGTTCATCTATGTCCTAGCTTGAGAAGTCCAAGTTAAATCTCAGTGGTGTCGAGTAAGCATTTGATTAATCTCCCCAGTGTAAACTTTATGATATGAGAAGCTGTATCTCCAGAGTGTGTAACAAATTTTTTATGCTATGAATGTAATCCCATTTTTATTTTTTCTATATCATTACATCATTCTCCTATGTATGTTTAATTACCTGTATTTTGTTTCCCCATTCTATGTGTCCGTGACAATAGATTGTTTTCTTAATTACCGTTTATCCCATGTTGTAACCATTGTGTTCTTGTTTTGTATGCCTTTTTGTGCCAGATGCCTGTAATAGTCCTGATGTGTTGTTATGAGTGTATGTAGTGTGAAACCATGACAAAAGGTAACAGTTATTTAAAGAATCTGTGTAACTACTGTACATGTTTAGCGAACGTTACCACATAATAAGAATCTTGGGGAAAGGGGGAGCTTTGTCATGGTCACATGGACTGCTAGTCTGTTTTAACTCTGAGGATTCTTATTATACTACACGCCCGCAAAACATGAATGGGTAGCTGGTTAGTTATCCCTAAGAAGAAACGCGCTTTTCCCTTTCAATGTTTACACCAGGATCCCTCTCCAAGTCCCGCCCTTGTGAAGACAGTTGTCAATACGTATTTATTCCACTTTTTTCTGGCAAGCTCAATCTTGAATTAGTTTATGTTAATCAACTTTAGTAATTCGCCAGACATTTGTCAACTGAGGGTCATCTTTGGATGTGTAACAGTTGGTTTGTTTGTAATTTCTGTCATTGCGTGAGATAGCATCCCGTGACGTCCTCCAACTTTGTTCCCAGGTATGTAGCAAGTGTTCCCTGCCAGTATAGCCATTCAGTTTGATTTAGTCAATTGTGTGAATATCACTGTTCATGTTGTAACAGTGGAATTGTCATTCACCCAGTGTGAGAAGTAATATAAAGTAAATGTCGTCTGACGTTGCTAGACGAGAGATGTTGTTTGTGTTTGAGTCCATGCTTTCCCGTGACGCTTCCCTCTCCCTTTGTTCCTCAGGTACAGTGGGTGGATTATTTGAACACCCACTGACTGCCCCGTATCCGGTGGCTACCTATCAGTTAGCGGTAGTGGACGATGCCGTTGATTCGACATGATTAACTTGCTCTAAGTCCTCCTCGTGGGCCTTAGACCCTAGACGCTCCCCATGTGTCGGGCTACCACCGATCACAACAGCGGTCGTCAGTCGTCCAGTGTTATACCCTAGGACATGCCTTGAAGTAAAAGTATCCATGTGGGATTGCAGTTGAGCCCCTGTAAAGTTGTTAGTTTCAGTATTAACGTGTAGTGTGTTGAGTGCATCTCATATGTGCTAACAGTGTGAAGGTTTCAGATGTAAGTTTGTCTGGTAATGTACTGTACTGCCATGTACTACCAGTAAGGTGTGAGAAGTAAAGTATCTGATTGGAGTTGTAATATGAGTAAAGCCACGGAGTTGATCCTGGTAACTGTTAATGTAATGTATCACCAGTAATGTGGGAGAAGTCAGAGTACCCACTTGGAATGGCATGTGAGTAAAGCCAAGGAATTGGTCCTGGTCACCATAATGTAATGTAACACCAGTAAGGCTGTGTGTAATAAGAGTACAGTATCTGAGTGAGTTGCAGTTGATTAAAGCCGAGGAGTTGCACCTTGGAGCTGTATGTTAATGATATATTTTCCCTACTTTGATTTCATATTAATAAACCATTTCTTAGAGTACTTTAGGGGTATTTTTCACCTCGGTATTCCACCTTTATTTCCGTCCAAGTGACTTGATATCAGAATTACAGTACCCATGTGCCCTAGACCCTCGCCATGCTACCAAAGAACTGAGGTTATGTAGTAACCATGAACTGAAATATGTAGACAGAATAATTGAAGGAACTAAGACAGAGAAGTATGAGTAAGACAAGGGGGGCAGCTTGAGAGATACCCACCCCCTTACATTATGAGCAATTCAGTAAGGTCTTGACACTGAGGGTGCTATCACTACTCACTGCCACTTAGGACAGTGGTTCATATACAGTATAATTCGTATTCTATTTAAGGACTAATCAGTGTGGGCTAACAAATATAGGATAGACTGCAGGAATGTCATCAAGCACTCCTGATTCAATGTAGTAATTACGTAATTCATGATACAATAAGCCAGGTGGCCTGAAGTCTTTGACAGTGTAACATTCAATAATATAGTGTTCAAGTGTATGCTTTAAGGGTTGATCAAAAAGTTTACATGCTGAGTGTTCCGGTATGGGTACAGCGTTACCAACTTGCCAGTTGTGTCTGTATCCTATCCTAATTCTGGCCACAACTACATCACATTGTCTGGTTCTGTCCTTATGCTGGCCTTACCGGTACCTCTTGTCACTAAATTTGTTATATTTACTAATGCTTCAACTACCAGGTCTCTCTGCATTTCTCAGTTCTTCTAGGTCAGAGTTCATGATTCTGACTTGAATGTTTTTAAGTACAGCATTGGACAGGCTTAGATCCCGGTCTACATTTTTTTTCTTACATGCCTCCTTGGCCAGTCTATCAGCACAGGCATGATTTCCAATTCCAACATGCGACGGAATCCACACAAATTCAATGCAAAAGTTGTTCTCCTTTGCAGTTAACACATTTCTTTTAATATCACAGACAAGTTTAGACAGTGAGCGGATGGCGCCAAGAATCACAACCTCTTCCCCCTCCCTGACCCTCTCGCCTTTTCTTCACCTTCTCATCCTCTCCCATATATTATTATTATTATTATTATTATTATTATTATTATTATTATTATTATTATTATTATTATTATTATTATTATTATTATTATTATTATTATTATTATTACCGAGGTCGTCACCGTAGATTCTGGGCATAAAGGGAAAGATAAGATTAAAGTTACGGTTATTTTTCTTTCTTCTTTTTATTTATTTTCATTTTAATTATTTGTGGTGATGAATTAAAGGGGTGTGAAGTAATCTGTCGTCAAAATAGAATAGTCTCCCTATTACACTTTAACATTTTCTTTTATAATGCACTCATGATCGGGGAAACTAAAATAATATTAAAACATGTATGGAGCTATACAGTACAGTTCAGCCTGGATATTGACAATGCAGGCATGTGGTGTGCGTTTATTATACATTAAAAAAATTTGTGTAAAGTTCAAGTGAATGAGACGTGTTATGAATACTTTGTTTCATTAAATTGGCAGTCGAATTATAAAAGCTGTTTCAAAAAAGTTGAAGTTTATAGGGTTGAAAGCAAAGTACAGTATATAATTGTTTTAAATGATAAAGAATAAGTGACGAAGAGAGGAGAAATAAAAGTAATGGCATACTTAACAAAACGTATTAGGAGTTTTAGCTTTCCTTACCTGATTGGTGGATGAGGTTTCATTATCATTAGTGACAATTAACCTACATTGTATATTGTTCACTGTGGGATGAGAGAGAAAAGAGAGATAAAGATTAGTACAGTAGTTGGGGTCACTTTTGTAATAATCTTGCCAAAAATTATTAAGTTTCCCATTTGTGAACCGTCGGGATAAGGGTACGGGATAATAATTTCAACTTATAGTTCACGCTGAACTCGATTGACTTCACTTCCCCAACTGATAAAATTATAATGATATATATATATATATATATATATATATATATATATATATATATATATATATATATATATATATATATATATATATATATTGTTACGAGTTGGGGATTTAGAATATAGTTAAAAGTCTACCCAGATCCCAACAAGCAACAACAACAAAAAACAAAGACAATCGGACTATAAAAGGGTAGACAAAGGATGCGAGTTTTTGTTGTGTATAATAAAGTACCATAAATCCCTTAACAAAATATTCAGCTTATAAATTACCCCTAACCAAACTTAACCTAAACATTAACAGTATATACATATGAATAAAACATAAAACAATCGTGAAGCAAGGTGGAGGTGGGAGAGGCAATACAAGATTACAAATACTTAAGTGAGGAGCTGAGATGGCTGACGAGTAAGGCTGAGTATTGTAGAAGACGGTAGGTAGTCACTGTGCCGTAGGTTTAGAGGATAGGTGATCCTGTATATATATATATATATATATATATATATATATATATATATATATATATATATATATATATATATATATATATATATATATATATATATATATATATATAAATTTTTTCCCATCTTGATCGACGCCATTTTGAATACATCCCTGACGTAATTCTTCTGTTCGTTAAACCATGATATATTTACATCATTTTAAACTATCTGTCAACTCTACTTCCCAGCTCGCGTATGGAATAGTTTATGTTAATTTTAGGGTATTATATAATGGTTATTGTGGGTATGTTGAAGCTCTTGGTAAGGTCACACAGCCGGGTCAAGAGCAGCAGTGCTGCTGTGTGTTGGTCAGGTATGTGTTACACAGCAGGTTCAGCAACATCTGGATCTCGACAGAATTGGTCTCGTAAGAGGCGTGGTGAACGTCATTACAGTTCCACCAACGGCCTATGAAGAAAAGAGAAAAGGAAGAAAGTTTACAAAACAAATGGGATCACTGTTATGGTTTATGATTTTGCTTTGTTGGTAAAATATTTGTGGGATGTTTACCGTACCTTTGGAAATGAATCACTGAACAACGTTTCTACAGTCACTTTACCTTTGTAGAAGGAATGGTTGTAAAAACCGGCTCTCCTCAGAGCCTGACACTCTTTCAGGTTAGCCAGGTTGAAGGGGAGAGTCGTGTCCCATTGCCACGCCCCCGTAGACCTGTGGACGACGTGGTCTTAGAAAAATATACTCATTCATTCTATATTTGTGATGAAATTATTGATCTGTGGTGGAAAAATGTCTCAATTACACCATAACTCGACCGTAACCAGACACATGTTCTCATGAGTGGAAATGTTTTATCGTGCGATCCTTTGTGAATTCAGATCCTACAGCTTACCTGAGCATCGTCCTTATCCAGGTGTCGACAAGGGGGATGGTGTCGTTAAACTGGTTCATGTATAGCAGGTGTCCAAAATAATCCTCGGGGGGGGTATTATACCGGCTAACATCGTCACTCTCTAAGTTGAACCATCGATACCTGTAAGACGGAGTCTTGGCATCTAAATCTTACAGTCCTAATTAGGCTCTTGAGTTAACTTAATTCATTCTAACATAGTCTAGCATAGCTTAACCTAATTTAACTTAAATTGACCAGATCTAACCTAACATAACCTAACCTAACTTTGATGATAATACAAAAAAAATCGAATTTGTACCAACACTCAACCATATAATCTTAAGCAGAAGTCTTATATACCTTATTAAGAAGTAACTAAGTATCTGGCGGCTGTATATCTTACCGACTCTGTGACCATGAAAGGAGTCGAGTCATATGAGCGAGTTGTGTGAGGGTGTGAACAAGAGGATGACCCAGGAGATGCAGCTTGGTGAACGGCTCTAGTTCACCGTGTGTCTGCCTCATGAGAATGTGCCATGTACCAAATCCTAATGGAGACGAGGGAGGGTGATAGAGACACTGATCATAGTGATATAATATTAGACACCTCAGAATGGGTATTGTCTATAATCAGCCAAAATAATCAGAATACAAAATAGAAAGGAGGAAGAGGAGGAGAAGAAAGAGGCGGTCAGAAAACCTAACACCATCTCTCTTGGTTACATAAGCATTACTTCGGGCGATAACTCTTGATTCTTATATGCAGGATCCCTTAATTAGAGATATAAAACAAGTTGTATTTGGATTATAAAATGTGTTAAGCACTCGGTGTAAATATGAATATAAGGAGGAGAAGGAGATGAGGGAAATTCTTACCTTATATCTGTGAAAATTTCCATAGAGGATTGACTAAATGTTAGGACTATCAAGAAACAAAATAATGTGAGTGTGAAAGAGGACAAGAGTGATAAATAGAATTGTGGGAAGAAACTGAAATAATAATGACAAAAAAAAGATATTGATGATTAATTATATTGCTCAGATACTCACCTGCTACAATAACATAAAATACGGCCTCTTCAGATACTCACCCACTCCTATAACATCAAATACGACCTCTTCAGATACTCACCCACTACTATAACATCAAATACGACCTCTTCAGAGACTCACCCACTCCTATAACATCAAATACGACCTCTTCAGATATTCACCCACTACTATAACATCAAATACGACCTCTTCAGATATTCACCCACTCCTATAACATCAAATACGACCTCTTCAGATACTCACCACTACTATAACATCAAATACGACCTCTTCAGATACTCACCCCCTACTATAACATCAAATACGACCTCTTCAGATACTTACCCTCTCCTATAACATCAAATACGACCTCTTCAGATATTCACCCACTCCTATAACATCAAATACGACCTCTTCAGATACTCACCCACTCCTATAACATCAAATACGACCTCTTCAGATACTCACCCACTCCTATAACATCAAATACGACCTTTTCAGATACTTACCCTCTCCTATAACATCAAATACGACCTCTTCAGATATTCACCCACTACTATAACATCAAATACGACCTCTTCAGATACTCACCCCCTACTATAACATCAAATACGACCTCTTCAGATATTCACCCACTCCTATAACATCAAATACGACCTCTTCAGATGACCTCTACTCAGACCTCTTCAGATACTCCCTCTCCCATCCGACCTACTATAAACATCCGACCTCTTCAGATACTCCCCCCCTACTATAACATCAAATACGACCTCTTCAGATACTTACCCTCTCCTATAACATCAAATACGACCTCTTCAGATACTCACCCACTACTATAACATCCGGTACGACCTCTGACGTCACCCAATCTTCAAGTTTGGTAACCTTGTGTCCGTCTGTACCTATGCCAGAAGAGGATATATTCTCGAGAGATCCGTACGGCGCCCATACCAAAGTCACTCGCAGGTCGTAAGAGTCTAGTGGAACATTCTTTTCCAGCAATTCCTTAAATGAGTAATTGGTCTCTAAAGGGTCCTCCTCCTCCGGTTCTATTAACAAGGGTTTGTAGGTAGCGTTATATCTAACAAAGCCGTTATCATCAATTTTGTTTTGACCGTTGTTTCCATATTGGGTTTTGCTTTCGGTATGGCCGTTGACTTCGTTAGGTTCGTTATAATCGTTGAATTCTGTAAGGCCGTCATGGCCGTTTAATACGTTATGGACGTTATGACTTTTAAATTCAATATTGCTGTTATGATCGTTGAATTTGTTATTTACGTTGTGACCGTTAATTCCGTAAACATTCTTAAATTCATCTAAATATTCCTTAAGGCTTCTTTCACCCTCATTAACTCCAGTATCAGTGTGGTAGCGGTCACGAGTATTGACGGGCGGATTGTTAGAGGGAACTGATGCGGTGCTAGGACTGAAGGTCGTTGGGTTCACTTTGGAGGCCTTGGAGGTCGTGGAGGTCTTCTTGGAAGAGGTAGTGGAGGTCTTGGAAGAGGTCGTGGTAGCCTTGGAGGAGGTGGTAGAGGTCGTGGAGGTCTTCTTGAAGGAGGTGTTTGAAATCTTGGAAGAAGAGGCAGTGGATGAAGGTAAACGGCCCAGGATATCAAAGGTTGGAGGTCTTTGTACATGATAGTATACAGCTGATATAAATTCCTCTCTGGTCACCTGTAGCGTTAAGAAAACACACTTGAAGCTTAAGTGATGAAACGAACTAAAATTAAGGAAACTGTTAATAAAGGGGTTATTTTATTTACTTATTAAAGTGATGAAATATATTAAAACAATGATTTAAATCATCAATTCATCCTTGTTAACATACTGGGGTTTAAATGTATATATTTAATTTATTATTTTTGTCGAACGGATATATTATAAAAAATTATTTACTTATTTTTTCAACAGGATGTACAGTATATGTTCTAAAAGTTATTATACTTAGTTATTCATCTAAAACTACAGTATGATTCCTCACCTCCGTGTCACCGAGGTAGAAGGTGTAGGTCAGCTCAGGCGGCAGGAAGCTCAGGAAGGAGTTGACCTTCTGCCTACCATTAGAGTCACCAACGAAGGCTATCCAAGTCTTGCTTCCCACAGCTGCCCTGGCCGAGCTGCACTGAACCACGTCTTCCATCTCGTACTCACGGATCTGTTGACGTGAAATTCATCTACAGTCTCGAGTGATTTACTACGTATGAAAAAAAAATATATAACTTATCATCTACGCATTAAAAGCACATATAGTTTTATGCAACGTATAGGTGCAATCAAAATATATATAGACCTTATCACCTACATATCAGTTCTAAGGATAACCTCTCTGGAAATATTTACATAATTTTGATATCACTTCAAAGTTATTGCAATAGTATGTTAATGAAGTTCAATACCATAGACGAGAAAGAGACGTAGCCACTATTTAACTACTTAATAACCCAATACAACACATCCTACGACTTTTCAAAAATTTATGACTAAATCCTGTCTTCTTTGTGTTAATGTTTTTGACGATACTGTAGCTGTGGATATTTATAACCGAAATTGACCAATAACTCAGAAATTAGTTTATCTTACATTATTATCACATTGGCCGGGCCACGGAGGTATAATTTGTGTTTTATGTTGAGGAGAAATTTTTTTTTTTCAGTTTCATTGTATCCAGTTTGGTTTGCCTATCAGGTTATTTACAGATGAAGTAATGGCTTGGGCCGTGAACTATCAAGTATAAGTACCTAACCTAACTTTAACCTAACATTAAATCAACTTTAACCAAACGTTAAAATAGATTAAACCTAACCTCACTTTAACCAAACCTAACTTTAATCAAACTAACCTAACCTAACCATTAGGCCCCATTCTTAATAGACTCTAGTCCTACTATATTTTATCGTCAAAATCGGATTCAAATTGAGCTCATGCTTAATAGACCCTAATGTTAATGGCCCCCAGTTATAATAGTTAGGTTACTGTGAGACCTACAGTACAGTATATATCGGCCAGTTGAACCCACCTTGCAGGGTATATAAGGTATTGAGCCGTCCATCAGCTGGAGACGAGTACCCATAAATATTTCGGCAGAACCGCTCATGTTACCACTCATGATGTCAAGGTCAGGCAACAAATGCATCAGCTGGCTGCTTAGTTTCTTATAAGGGTTGTCTGTGGTGGAGGTAAAAGCATTTGACTAAGAAGCGCTTGGTGTTGATGGGGGTTAAAAGTTGTGAGAATCTATTTAGATTTATTTGTACAATAAACAAAACAAAAAGAAGGTTTCATGTGATGCAAAGAAATAATGATGATAAAAAAGGCCTGTTATAGTATATCAGTTTAACAAAAGTTTTGATAATATGATCGAAATCTGTTTAAACCTTTTTTTTATTCATTCTGAAAAATATTACGAGGAGAAAAATATATATTTTTTGTATTAATTTTCTCTCGGCTGGCAAACTTTTTGATTTGTTAACAAATTCTCAAGAGAAACAATTGTGAAACATTTTGTCTATATGATATGATATTTAATGAGAAACATTTTATCATAAAGTTCTTTTAAAAAGTATTGTCTTATTAGGAATTTGTTGATGCTCATTAAAACACTAAAGGTTATATTTTGTGCTTTTTATATTCGGTTAAACATTTTTAAAGGAAAGTTTAAACCAAGGTAAAGCCATTGTCATCAAAGGGTAAAAGTTTCGACGTTGAAAGGTTAAACCATCATCATCAACGGGTTTAAACAATCTTCGTTACAGGGTTAAAACACTGTCGTTAAAGGGTTAAAATATCGTCGTTAAAACAACGTCATTAAAGAGTTAAAACACAGTCGCTTAAGGTTTAATCCATCATCATCATCAAAAGGTCTAAACCATCGTCGTCAAAGGGTTAAAACGTCGTCGTTAATGGGTTGAAACATATTCGTCAAAAGTTTAAGTTCCATTGTTGGGTTTTTGTCTACAAAATTATTTAATAAAAACATAATGTGAGGTAATTTATATGTAATGTTACTTCCCGTAGTCTTTACTGCCTGGCGTGTGGGGTCCTACTTTCACTTTCATTCAGCGCAACGCAGTCATCAGTCACTTGTATTCACACAGTCAGTATGTCTCTCGAAACACTTCTAAACAGCTTACATACCAAAGTACCAGATATCGCCGTGATGACCCTTATCAACGGTGAACATGGCTTGGCATTGCTGGCGGAGGTGAGCCTGACGAACAGCAGTTGGGGATGGAACCGTCAACGTGGCGGTGGTGGCGTTGTGGGAAGGTGCTCGAGGGTCCTCCTTGTCCCAGAAGGGCAGGAACACCAACACTAGTAAGCTGGCTGTAATAGCGATCACCAACATTTGTTTAACTGAGGGTACAGTCGAGGCTGCGATTCGAAAATATCCCATGACTGTCTGTAGAGCAGTCGCATGTACTGTACAGTGGTTGTATTTTTTTTAACACGGTAATGTGTTTTTTACGTGGTTTGCGAATGTTATCGTAACACAAAGCAAAGTTTAATACACAGGCACCGTGCGGGTTTTTTTCATTTTTTCTTTTTTTGCGCAGTTTGAGATTTTACTTTACACCAAGTACATTACAAACAGCGCCATTATTTGTTTGTTTATATTGTAGTTTGATATACGATATTATTTTTTCTTTGCACCAGTGAAGTACACTCACACTACCTTCCTTGATCACATTATACAGTGTACGCAGACTGTTATTTGAATCACTGGGTAGAAAACAACCACAATGAATGCAGTTTTAATTTCCACGTAAGTACAAATAAACACAGAGAAGAGCTATACATTTAACACACACGGTACATTTTCAGTAAGATTTTAAACGCACAAACAAACACAGACAAACAGTTACACACACACACAAGTGGTCACAGGATGAGCAACTGGGAACTGATGATGTTGCAGGATATGAGGAGGATAAATATCTCAGGCATTGCGAGCAGGAGGAGGAGGAAAAAGCGAGAGATATCCACTTGCTTACGAAATGAGACCGCGAGTGATCCCAAACAGTCTCTCTCTCTCTCTCTCTCTCTCTCTCTCTCTCTCACACCCATTCTCTTTCTGTTTCTGGTTCTTGTACTATTTATCTCTATTTCTCTCTCTTTCTTTCTTTCTAGTTCTCTTTCTCGATATCATTAATGTAGTTGAGACGTAGAATGAAACCTTAAGAAGTCGATATCGAAACTATTCACAATTTTAGCCTTTATGGGTTACCTGAAGGTGGGATACACTGAGGGGTCAATCTTGTCAAAAATTTGGGTCTCGATTCACGTAATTATAATACCTGGATGAGGGAGGGTCAGTGTTATAACCCTAGGAATAATTATCAACTAAATGTGTGTAGCAATAAACAAATGATTAATGTTTTCATTTATTTGTTCTAAATTTCTTGAGATGAATTTGAGTAAATGAATAAAAACAATTATTACTTATTTCTTGAGGTCGTGTAGATTAACATTAACAAACTCGGAACATTGGCTTATCTTTAACATTTATATACTGTACAAGAGGCTGACGCAGTTACATTGATCATTCCCAAATTATCCACCGATGGAAAGTTTGACCTTATTTTAACCGTGACTCAGGAATACCTATGGTGGACCAACGGGGATGTGAGGTAACTTCCCCTAAACTCAAACTTAACCAGGTGACAACTCCCTCCCATCACACCTGAAAATGATTAAATAGATTTGTGGTCTTAAAATTCGAGACCACAGGTGTCCAAAACCTATAAAGAGGTCTCGAGTTTTATTACGAGACCTACATCACTGTTCTCTCCTTCTCTCGTCTTCTCTTTTCTCCCTTTATCTCTGCAGCGAAAGAGGTAAGTTGAAAAGGTTGTGTATATGTGTGATAACATCATTTAATACAACCAAGTCTACTAACGCTGCACTAGTACTACTTATAATAATAATGATAATAATAATAATAATAATAATAATAATAATAATAATAATAATAACAATATTATTATTATTAGTAGTAGTAGTATTTGCCTCAATCGGAGACATTTAAATTACTAACAGACACACCTTATTCAAACTTAAGAGTATAATATATAGTATATGGGAGTATAAAATATTTTAAAGAATAATTATTTTCAATTACTATAGGAGATATTAACATGCATAAGAATGTGTGTGTCCAGTATATCTCTGTGGTATGTATGTGAGGTGTTTGTGTATGCGTGCTTCCCTTAGTGAGAATATTTGGTTTAATATTACAGCGGCTAACAAAATACTCTAGATACGTTTACTTGCCTTACAATTACGGGAGACGAGACTGAAACATTGTAACACGATCTGAATGTCTGTATGAGTACAATAATGCTGCCAAATGTGTCGAGAGAACAGTATAGTATTTTGTCATTGTATGTTTGTGAGTGTGTGGTTGAGCAGTTATATGTGTAAGTTTATTTGCTTTTGCGTGTAAAGGTGAATGACTTTACTGTAGGTGTGTATGTGCGTGTGTGCGTGTGGGTTCCTCGTATTTGTTAGTCAGCGTATGTTTGCGTGTAGGTGTACTTTTCTATTTATTTATGTATTTATATGTGTGTGACATCATAGTGAATGATGTCATCTGTGGTCAAGTCTTTCCTCCGGACTTGGTCATGTGTCACCATTCCTAAGCGAATCCGTGCCTTCCACTCCCTCCTATACCGTTCCCAGTTTGTTTTCGTGATCGTTTCTTTGGTTGATTGTCCAGGCGAAATTTGGTCCCAATAGTGACTTTAAGTCCTCTTGAATCCTTACCTTTCTTGTTTGGGTTTTGTTCTTATTCTTGCGTGGAGGAGCACCCGCCTAGCGTAGGATGCACAAATAATGTATGTGTATCTTTATTTGTGAATATGTTGACATGATCGGCACACATTATTATAAATGAGAGAAACAAAGACTTAAATATTAATATACCGGTAGAGATTTTTATCACAAAATCCTCGAATATACAGGGAACTATTTAGGCGGAGCGTTTTTATAATAATATATAATAGTTCCTTGGATTTTCTTGAGAAAAATTGTCAATTAACTACTAGAATTAGAAGCCTAGCTGGCTCTGTGTATAAAATAAGTTATTAGCAGTCACCATTTTGTCAATCTAAGATGACCACCATAGAGACAATGAAAAAAAACAATGTATAAAGATAGTTTTTGGGGGGATCAAGATGTCCTAAGGTTTCTAAAATAGATAGTTTTCCTAATCACTAAAAATAAAAATAACGAATCCTTTAAACTCTACATTATGAACCAGACTAATACTTTAATGTTCTTTAACCACTCAGTGCATTCAAGGGGTTATATGATATGCTAGAAATATTAAATATAATTTCCAGTTGTTTGACCAAAGTCACGGCCGGAACCGGAACATCGGAGAAACGGATCTCTAGTGTAGATGATAGTGTAATGGATGATGTGTAGATGATAGTGTATTGGATGATGTGTAGATGATAGTGTAGTGGATGATGTGTAGATGATAGTGTAGTGGATGATGTGTAGATGATAGTGTAGTGGATGATGTGTAGATGATAGTGTAGTGGATGATGTGTAGAGGATAGTGTAGTGGATGATGTGTAGATGATAGTGTAGTGGATGATGTGTAGATGATAGTGTAATGGATGATGTGTAGATGATAGTGTAGTGGATGATGTGTAGATGATAGTGTAGTGGATGATGTGTAGAGGATAGTGTAGTGGATGATGTGTAGATGATAGTGTAGTGGATGATGTGTAGATGATAGTGTAGTGGATGATGTGTTGATGATAGTGTAGTGGATGATGTGTAGATGATAGTGTAATGGATGATGTGTAGATGATAGTGTAGTGGATGATGTGTAGAGGATAGTGTAATGGATGATGTGCAGATGGTAGTGTAGTGGATGATGTGTTGATGATAGTGTAGTGGATGATGTGTAGAGGATAGTGTAATGGATGATGTGTAGATGATAGTGTAGTGGATGATGTGTAGATGATAGTGTAGTGGATGTAGTGTCGATGATAATGTAGTCACGGAAACTCACCTTCAACACAAATCCGGTAACACGGGGTTCCCCAATTAGTATATAATATATAATCCTAAATATAAATGCTACACGGAGAGTTTTTATGGATCCCTGAGAGTTTTTAAGGGTCCTGGAGAGTCTTTAAGGATCCTAGAGAGTCTTTAAGGATCCTGAAGAGTCTTTAAGGGTCTTGAAGAGTCTTTAAGGATCCTAGAGCGACTTTAAAGATCCTGGATAATCTTAAAGATCCCCGAGAGTCTTTAATGATCCCCGAGAGTCTTTAAGGAGCCCGACAACCTTTACGGATCCTAGATACCTCTTTAAGGATACTGGGGAGTCTTTAAAGCTTCCAAAACGTCATTTACGATAATGAACCTTTTTTTCCCACTCATAAATATTTCCTAAATAAGTTAATTGTCTTCTGCAGCAACCCAAGCGAGTCATAGCGAGTACAGGATGTCTTTATAGGTGTTACTTTGTATGTTTGGTGACGGGGAAAGAGAAGGGCCACCGAGGTGTATGACTCAGTGTCAAGGAATAATCCTATAAAACCAGACAAGTCGCCAACTGCGAGTTAATTATTAGAATTGGGAAAAATTTTGCTTAATGAAACGTGGGTGGGCGAACAGGATTTTGCCTACGCCACGAAATTACAGTAGATATATATACCCTCAGTTTGTCTGGCTAGTGTCAGTGAGTGCGTCTACAACACAGACCAAACAACTCTTCTAGACTCCTCTCACTTGCTACAAGTGTTCAACGCTCCAGCGAGACAGTCAGCACGTGAAACTACTACAGTATAGTCGTCTGAGGGATCTAGATCACAAAATCGTCCGCGGACTTTTTCACAAATCTCCAGCTGAATAGAAATGGATGAAGGACGTGTAGTGACGATGCAGACCTGTGTGTGCGTGGTAGTTGGGGTTATTCTGTTGAGACTGGGCTCGGCTGTTAGTCTGCCAACCAACAACCACAGCATCGAGAACCAGGTGCAGGAGCTCAAGGAGATGGGCTGTAAACCTATGATGCAGAAGGTGTGGGTCGTCCACCTCATCCACGAAGGAGATGACCTCTCCGACTATGACTTCTACCCCAAGACTGTGGCGGTGCGTCGGTGTGTCGAGGACTCCAGCTTCTGTGGCGACGACCTGGGGCGCTTCATAGGTAATTGTTCTGCCACGAGCAACGGAACTAAGGCCTTCGTCGTCACCTACAACACCAACACCAACCCACCCGCTACGCACCAGAGAACGTTGACGACGGTGGAAGATACCCAGTGTGGTTGTTAAATTTCGTCACACCGGTAAAAATAATTGCTAATGGTGACTTGAAGTTTTGTGTGTGTGTGTGTGTGTTTGACGTTATATTGGTGACATTTAACAATGGTGACGTGGATGATGACGTGTGGTTTGGTGACGTGGTTTGATGACGTCGTCAGTCAATCTTCGAGGAGGGTAGACATTGAGCATCACCTGTTCAGGTATATTTAAAACACCAGTTATCTAACTGAACATCACCAAGCCATATATTACTTAGATCATCTCCAATTTCATATGGATAAAATTAAATCGAAATTCAATAATTTTCAATTTACCAATTTCAAGGTCACCAAAGTCAAGATTACGCAGTTAGCAGTTGACCAGGTTTAATATCACCAAGACCAAGATTGCCAAGGTTGATATTATTGTGTCAAGTTCACCAAGTTCCAGGTCACCAAATATCTCATCCACCAGAGCCAATTTGTTTATTTATTCAACAATATTATTTATTCACTCCCTCGCTAAAATAACACTTAGACTCTGAATGTCTAATAAAGCAATTATATTGTATAACATTATTTTAAACTGGTCAGTTTTGATGTA